AAAATTCAACAAAGTAGGAAATAAATAACCCAACTGAAAAATGGGGTTCATTTGAACAGATTATTCATCTAGAAGATACATGAGTGGCAAATAAGAATATAAAAAGATGCTTGACATCCTTATAATTACAGAAATGCAAATTAAAACAGTGAGATACCACTATGCACTTTGAGAATGGCTAAATTAAAAAATACTTGGCAATGCCAAGTACGGACAAAAATGTAAAGCCATTGTGTACCTCATTCACTGCTAGTGAGTATGCAAGAAGGGACAGCCACTCTGGGAAACAGAAAGTATTTTTTATTGAAGTGTACCCTTATCCATATGACTCAGCATTCCCACTCCTAGGTATTTATCTAGACAAATTAGAACTTGTTGCACAAAGCTTATAAATGAATTTTTTATAGCAGTTCTATTTATAATCACCTAAAATAGAAAAACCATATGTCTTTCAGTAGGTTGTGAGTGGATAAAATTTGTGGTTCATTCACATAAGGAAATACTACTCTGCAATATAAAGGAATAGGGAACTGATAAATACAACATGGATGAATCTCAAAACTTTTATGCTGAGTGTAAAAAGTCAGTTTCCAAAAGTAACATACTGAATAAATTCATTTATATGACATTCTAGAAAAAGGAAAAATCATAGAAATTGGAACACATCAGTGGTTACCAGGGCAAGGAGTTGGGGGAAGATTTGAGGCTCTGTATCCTGATTGCAGTGGTGCCTATAGGAGTCTATATGTTAAAATAAATACAGTTATACACCAAAAAAATTAATTTTAAGCATGTTAAATTAAAATATTGGTTTGGAAAAATACTCAAATAGTGATATAATAACCTATCTTTTTCAAGTTTTACCTCTTCTCTTCCTTTTTTGCTACAAATGAGTCACTGACATTTTCAAATTAGTAACAACTACTCATTCTATGGAGAGCTTGATGGGGAGGAGGGCATATTGATAAGTTTCTCATAATTAATCAAAGGTCCTTGTTCTTTAAACATAAGCATTTGATATAATGTACCTTTTGTATTGCAGTCAGACTTCAGGATACACTCAGAACCTCATCTGAAGAAAAGCAGAAGGCAGATGCTGTGACATTGCCAGTTCTTGAAAATGCAACTGGATGGAAATCCTGGGGTCCCCCATGCTAGAGTTAACAGGTGACATTTGAAAATGTGGGGCTTTTGCTTCCTAAGTTGTTCTATGATAACACCAGGGTAATAGACATTAGAAATGGCCTTGCAAATCAGGGCTTCCTGTCACCAAAAGGTACAGAGTAGTAATCTCAATCATGCTATGAAGCTCACACCACCTCTGTGGTAACCACAATATTATCAATAAGCTAAGTCCATCCTCTCCTTCAAAAGTCAGTTTCCCTCCCACATTCACATAGAAGTGAAGGCTCAGGTGTCCTTTGCCTTGGTTTTCTATATATGTCCAAAGCTACATTGCATGAACTGTGTACCGCTATGCCATTCACGTTATCTCCCCTTTCTTCTCAATTTAAAGTCCCACCTGATGACTTTCAAAATGGACAGTCTTGTATTGAAAACCAGCCATCAGAGTAGACCAGAAATCCATTTATAGAACTCTAGTTCCCCTCGCTTGGATCTCAGATATGGAGTTGGGTAGAAAGGCATGATTAAGCAAAACAAATGTCCACAGCTTATTCCATGGGGACCAGCATGAAACTTGGAGGGGAGACTTACCTTGTTAGTTCCCAGCAGCTGTCTTTAGATTTTACTACTAATGAGAGAAGAGGTGAAGAGCAGAGGTATTCTGGATTGATTTTCCCAGAAGAACTGGTGCTTACTGCATAATGAACCCTTAATATTTTTCACCTTTTATATTTCAACATGTCTAGCTTTAAGGAGTTGAAAAGATTTAAAGGAGTTTTTTAACACTCTTCAGAGGAAAGGTGAGATATTGGCCAGTGGATACACCACCTCAAGTTACTCATAATGATTTCTGAAAAAGAGATTATGAGGTCAAACAGAAAGGAAGAGTTGAGCAGTTTTAACCAAAGCTATCCAGAGTCCCAGGTGGAATATTAAGTTAATAACTGTGCTTCTCTGAGTGGAGATGCTGCCTGTGTTAGAGAAGTAGGTACACCTGTATGTTAAGCCTCTGAATTAAGTGTCTCTCTTTGACTCTAGTCCTCAAAGTGCTGTCCCAGGGGCAATATATCATAACATGATCATCTCTAGGTCATCCATAACCTCATCCTTTATATACTGTATATTTTATAATGTGCCAGTGCCCATAGTTTCTGCTGTAAAATAACCTATTATGATGACACTTAATTTTAAATGAACATAATAGTGCCTCCTTTCTAAAGCAAAACCAATTTCCTGACTAAATTACAGGGAACTTGTTTAAGCTGGTGAGTGATGGTTGAGGTAGAGTGTCCCATGGGTCATTTTGCTGTGACAAAAAGCACATTTAAGGAAAAGAGCAGCCACCTCTACATTCTCAAAAGGTTTCTCTGAAATTCTTGAAAATACTCACTGGCTGACATCAGAGTAAGTGAGATTTCTTACACAGTACCTTTTTTGTATGTCCCTGTTTTCAAATGAAGAGAATTAGGCCTATTTGAAAAAAAATATCCAGGTAGTTGATTTTGAACCCGTTGCTCACAGACACAGTATCACAATACTGGCCTCTGCAGACATCAAAGCCATGCCTTTCTGAAACCGTCTGCTAGCTCCTCTGTTACACTGATCTTTGTTTTCACAACCCAACCAAATTTTTGAATTATTGTAATTCCATAATGGGCTTTGATAGCTAATTATGGAAAATCCCTAATTTATACTTTTAAACTGTTTTACCAGTTCTCACTGGTTATTGTTACTGATATAGAATCCTCATCTCAATACCTCCTTTCTTGCCAACAAAATTATCAATTTACTTAGAACAGTATTAATCTTTAATTAATAAAGTGACACCATCTGCCTTCCATATGGACAAGAACCATAACTTGCCTTTCTATCTCCTACACTTAGCACAAAGCTAAAAGCAGACTCGACAGTAGAATCTGATATGTTCAGGAGGAAAAAAAAAGAAAAAGATTCTGATAAATTTTGTGGTACTGTGTGCCATCTGTTTTTGGGTTTGGAAATTTTCTCTTACTCTTCTACCTGTCACACCTTACCAAAAACTTTCCTTCAATGCTGAGCTCTGTTTGTGGCTCTTGATGTAGTCTCGTTCCTCTAGTGTCTCAGCCCAAGAGCAGGTGACTGCTAAGCTAGTCCCATTATCGGTGGAATTCATTGTGTTTCCCAATTCTTGTCTTCTGGAAGGAAAGAATTCAATGGAGAGACCAGATAGCAAGAAAAAGCACTGAGGAATTTATTGGGTTAATGTGAAAAGTACACTCTCAAGACAGGAGAGCAGGCTGTCTGGAAACCAGAAGCAGCATTGCTATTAGGGTTAGATTGGCTTTTATTTTTTCTTAAGACGGCGGAAAGTCCGGCCCTGCATTGTACATCCTTTGATTGACAGGTTGAATGACAGCTCTATGTTATATAACTTTTCTCTCAGTGTGTCAGCAGGCCCCTTACCCATAACTATCTAAGTGAAACCCACAGAGGGGCCAAAACCACAGAGCTAATTAGATTTAGATGTTATTTTTTTTTTTAGTGGATTGCAGTTACTTGTGCACAAGTCTTTAGACCTTGCGCAAGCCCTGTAATTGGAGAAGCCCCTGTGGTCCTGGGCGTCTTTACAGTCTAGGTGTCCTTGACTGTCTGGGCCTCCTGATAAGCTAGTCATCCTTGACTGCAAACCTGGGAACTAAAGAGGGCTTAGGAGTCAGCCACAGAGGAGTCCGCCTTGGTGATGGGACTTTCTCCTGGTTTTATCTAACTGACTGGCCACTCTAACAATTCCAGAACCATTTACTGGTTCATGCAACTTCACTTTCTCCACTTCCACCACCCAAGAAATCAGTCAAACATTTTTATTTTTTAATAAATCTAAGTCCATACCAACTAATGGAAGGAATACTTCTCTTAAAATAATTTTAAAAATGAAATAAAAGTAAGTCAACTCAAAGAGAACAACTGCCCAATAAAAAAATTAATAGAAAACATTTTTGGGTTATTCACTAAAAAATAGTCATCATTTACTGAGAACTTACTATGGTCAGACCCTACTGTGTGCTAACCCCATTACTTAGGTTATTTAATTTACTTGTCACAACACCATGAAGTAGATATCATTTTGATTCCTAAGTTCCACAAGAGGACATTGAAGCTTGAAGAAGTTAAATGGATCCTCAAAAAAGATGTAGAGCTGGCATCGTAACCGGGGTGGTTTTGACTCAAGAAACAGAGGCCTTAAACATGATGCTATAATATTGCCTCGAATTTACATGCACAAATCAACATTTTACACCAAGACTGGGGATACCTTTCAACTAGAGCCACAGCCACAGCTGCATTTCCATATGCTCCATCCAGACAATTTCCCCCTGGCTCCTACCAACTGAGGTAACAGCTGAGAGGAGCAAACTCCCCAGACTCCCGGTGGAGTTAGCCCTCAACATTCTAGTGGTGATGTTTAAGGGTATTTCAACCAAATGAAGTGGGCCAAAGATGAGAAAAATGAGACCGTGAAATGAAGAAAAGCAGATGCATTTCTAACGCAACTATCTTCATACAGAGCACCTGGGACATGGAAGTACTGAGGAAAAGTTTCCCAGGTGTCACAAACCCAAACTAGCCGGCAAGCAGAACAGCCTCTGCGTGGGTGAGTGCAGCAGTGGTAGTCTCCCGGATTCGCAGTGTGTCTTCATCCACCTCAGTGCAGCCACCGGAGTTCCCCCTACCTACCCATTTAATACTTAAATACCTAAAGTGTTTTTTAAGGTCTTGTATCCGGTATGTCGTCTAGAAAATCCATTAAGCCGGTCATCCTGCAGCCCAGAGCGCTCTTCTGCAAGTGAAACTGCACCGCAAGGTCGCTGTTAGAGTGGCCTTCCTCGGCTGCCGGCATGATTCCTTTGAAAGGTCACCAGCATTTCAGCCATGAAGGCCTTTCTTCTTTTCCAGAAAAAAAAGGAAAACGGTAAATGAGCTATTTTCAATTTTTTTTTCAGAAAAAAATCATAAAAGCCCAGATACATATTTTTCCTTTTTTCTACACAACTTAATAATAACTGCATTCAACTGCAAAACCTTGGAAAGAAGGTAATCTTACTATGTTATGACCTAAGCTGAAATCCATTTTAATTTCTATTCCTGTATCTAGCTATTGATTCCCTTCATCAGCTCTCCCACCTCCAAGTGTGGGATTTTCTAGTGTTTGATGACATAAAGCAGAATATGGGCAATGTTTTAGGCCAATTTTTTAATGATAAACCAATCTACCACCACTGCTGAGTAGTAAACAAGCTCCCTGCAAGGTACCAGCAGGGGAGCCACAGTGAGAAATAGCTGATCTCCTGAAGCATGTGTCATACAGCCAACCTTGAGAGTGGGGTAAAGGCTGTGATGGATTCAAATATGGTAGAATATAATAGGATTGCAAATTGTATCAAAGCAGTACATTAACAGATTATCAGATTATCGATTTTGCCCTCACAAATACCCTACCTTCCCACAACCAAACTACCTTGTAAGTTTTCATCTTTTAAAATCCCTCCCACCTGTTTTTGTGAGCTGACTCAATAAATAGTACATTAGAAGATGAGAAAGGGTGCCTTTAATAGGGAAAAAGTAAGAACCAAAGGAATTTTCAGTGAAATTTGGCCTTTATTATAAAACAAATCTTATTTTTAAAGTAGTTCATGCATGAATTGTGATTTGATAAACATTATTTCTTCCAATTTCCTTTAAATAGACAATTTTTAAATTTATTTCCTCTGAATCATTTAAGGACAATTGTTCAATTGTTTCTGCATTGAAGAAAAAGCAGCTTTTTTCAAGAGGAGTCAGAGAACTGGGAAGCTCCAGAATTGTTGTGAGAAAAAAAACTTTGAAGGGCAAGGCTCTTACCAATGCTTCTGCAATTCAAAATAAATAACATATGTGTGTATATACACAATTAAATTATATATTCTGTTATATATGATAAAATATACAAGTATATAATAAAATAAATTTTATACATATGTATATATATATATATGTCAATATTTAAGCATCTTGTCCATAATGGTTAAGATGAAATTGTTCTATAAAAAACTCAGGGATAAAGTTACTAGAATCATAAATGGTTTTATTTCCTTAGAGGACGAATGGGTCAGTGCAGTGTGGGTGACATGGCTATTTGTGATGAAGGATAGGGTGAAGGAGGGGAAGAAGAGGGTTTAAAGAGTCACAGTGGTCAGGCAGCCCTAAGAATCCAACTTAGCACCTGAATACTCCTGGAATTTCCAGCTGGATTCTTAAAGTTCAGTGTCCCTGTGATGACAAGCATGATAAAGATAATGAAATCAAGGCACAGAAAGATTAATTGATTTATATAAGATCTAAGATTCCCACAACTCTTTCACATCATTTAACTGGTCCATTTGTTCCCCTGTGCCTCCTGCTCTGATGTTCTTGTTTCAGAAAAAAATGAAATGTTGTCTGAAGATTTCACACTTAGATAACCTCAACCCTCTTGTACTCCTAGGTATTATTCAGCATTTAAGAGGTAAACCTTCCCACCCTTTTAATTATCACATAAAAGGAGTTCAGCATTGTGCTAGACAAAAGAGAAGAAAGCAGTTGGTAGTGCCACTCTCTAAATGGAGGAAGAAAAACATAATATGCCAACAAGAAATAGCCGAACAATTATCCCAAGGCAGAGAGACAAGTGTCTGAAATGATTGATAAGGAATTGTGTGGGGAAAAGGAATATTGTCATCCAAGAAACAGAGCCAAAGTCAAGCAGGGCATGCTTCTCCCAAGAATGAAATATAGCATTTTTACCCCAAACTACACCCTCTGCAAATGCTCATAAACATCAGTAAAATAAAGAAGATTGAAGTACTGTATGTACAATAGGAGAACAGGGAAAGTGAATTTAGTAGGCATTCAATAAGCATTAGAAGAATGAATGGATGGATGGATGGATGAATGAATAAATGTTGTTTATGAAAGGTGAAAATGGAAAGAATATCTAAATAATAATATTAATAGATAAATTTTATCTAAAGCCAAGTATTCAACTGTTCTCTTACCAAAAAAATAGTTTGGAAATGGCCTGAACTTGTTCCTTCTCTTACTTGAGCTTGAAGAGCCCTGCCCTCCTGCTACCTCAACAGGCCACAGTATATAAGAATTGAAAAAAGCAATCCCAGAATTTTCTTTGGGACAATAAAGAGTCTGCTTTGGATATTTCTTATTCAATTAGGAATGTCAGCTACCAGCCTCTTCTCCCCTAGGTGGCCCAAGGTGGAGGCAGAAGAGGTAGTTGGCTCTGTGCCATGCTCTTTCTTGCTGCCATCCCACCCACACTGTCTGGAGTGGATCCAAGCTTTGTGAAAAATGATCCTTAGACAATTTGGAAGAGTGTAGGTTTAACACATATAAAGATACAATAATGGCCTTAGCTACAAAACCTTGGAAGGAGCCAAGCCAATGATGGAGCCAGGCAGGCTGAAGAGAGAGTAGCTTTATGGTAATCCCCAGGGTACACTCTGTTTTTGTGATTAGATGCCTCTCTTTGTCACTCCTTCCATGTCTTCATGTGGATACTGAAATGTTACAATCCTACACAATTTTCTCTGACACCTGACACCCAAACAGGCAGCACAGTTGCTCCAGAGCTGGTGCATTTTCTGCATTGATAGTATTTATCTGTTTTGTAATAGTTGCTGTGTATCTTCAAGACCTCTGATAGACCGTGAGCTCCTGGAGGGCAGAGCCTGTGCCTTATTAGGCTTCATGTCCACATTACAGGGCTCTCAGTAAAAGGTTAATTGCATGATTGGATAAATTAGGCTTTTTGTTACACAAATTGCCCATGCTTACAATGCCAAAGTATTATTATATGCACATAAACTTACAAAAAATGTTTTATCTGATTCTTGTTAATTGATTAAAGAGCAGAGCCTCAACAGCAGGTTAGTTTTCTCACATTTTTTCTTATTCAAAAAGAGAGTTGATTTGAAAGTATGGAAAGTTTCAATAACTGTGATATACAGGCAGTCAAAGCCGCTGCTTACCTCTCCAAGCAGCCTAGCCCAAGCACTGTATTCCTAGTTATGATTGTCATTTTCAAATGGAAAATCTGGATTAATGTTTTGCAGGCAAGACAATTAAACTTTCAAATGGGAAAAATAACCAGAAAATCTTTGATTAATAAAATACAGTGTGCAAATAACAATGGGACATTAAATATACTACTTAGTGAATGTACCATAGTGAAATTCAGGAGAAAAAATCATTTTGTACTATTAGCTGGGTTGTGACTTGGATTTACACAGAGGGAGAATAAAAAGAAATTAGAATGAGCCTGAAGTTTTGCTTTTCTAAGATTATTTTTTGTAGCAAAGCCTATAGGGGCAATTAAACAGGAAAATAGAGAACACTAGCTATTTATATTTTTATAAACTCACAAGAAATATTAACAAAGAACTACATTAAAGTAATAAGATAAAAGAGCAAATTTTTTTAACAAACACATAATATTTTGTGTACATTTTTATCTCATACTCTTCTGGAGAGAGATTTTCTGTTTCTGAGATTCATGACTTAATTTCAGTCACATATAGCTTAAAAGCATCACTTAATATTTATTTTCAATATCTAAATACTGTGAGAAATACAGAAATAATAAAGTAGGGATAAATAATACAGAAGACTAAATTATAAACTGCTTAAGGACTAAAGCATTGTATTTCATAGATTTACGTAGATTCAGATGAGTAAAATAATACAGACAGTACAACCTGGTTTTTGTTTCTGAGTTGTTTTCAATCAGAGCTTCATGTTAAAGGTCAAGTACACCTCATCCTTGAATTCTTCAGCAAATATTTGCACACGGACAAATTATAGGACCAGCAACCTTATCGTGTTCCTTTTTTTCTCTATTATGCACAATTCTCATATAACAAAGAGGAGAGCAAATTCAAGCAGCTGTCTAGGGCATGTAGGTTTATGACTATTATGTCATACAAAGGACCTTTTATAGTTAAGAAATAACTTATTGAGGAGCTATTGAAATTCTCGTATGAACTGAAATCACTTATGTTCATTAATTTGATTTTCAGAATAATATGGATTTCCAAAAATTAGTCTTTTTTGATTTCAGCTTCCCCACCCACTTCTATTTCACCATTGTCAAACAAGAAATGAAGAAAGGGTAAAGATAATAACAAGGCTGATCTTTTTGTTCTCATAAAATATAGTCTTAGACCAGGTTTTTTAGTTGTTTTTTGACAGAAAAATCACTATTTTAAATTATGAAAAAATTATACAATGAAAAGAAACAATTGTTGGCATTATTCTGTCTTTACTAAATAAGATAATTTAGCAATCATCGATGGATTTATCCATTTCCCACAACATAGTCAACATACCTGGAGGAATAGCAGAACAGAAACTATCATGAAATTGTATTAAATTGTACAACATTTCTCTGAGTTTATACTTTAAAGATATTGCTTAAAATATGGTCTACTCTACCATGTGCATATAAGATCTGCTGTCCTATTTGCTTTGAATTGTGTAAGCTACTATGTTAACTATAGCTTTTAGCATCCTTGCACTGTAACCAAATTATGTTGAAAGCAGCTGAAAATTTCATGGATATGCTTATTTTGTTGACCTTTACTATATTTCAAGAAAGTGGGATAATTCATCTTTACTTGTAAACTAAATTCAGTCTGAAGTTTTCAAGGAGAAAAGATGAAATTAAAAACACAAATTGCCAAATTACCAAATTGGAATCTAATTTGCTTCATTCACATGAATATTTTCTTTTGAGAGGAAAAAAATCAAAAGAAGAGGAAGACAAGGAAAAGGGAATGGAAAAATGTAAAAGGGACTGAGGAGAAGGCAAAAGTAGGATAAAATGAGGAGAAAAAAAAAGACATTACACTTTTCTCACCATTCCCAAAGCCAGTCAGTTGTTTG